CGATTGAATCCACCGCACATAGAACAAGCACACACAGACATTCACATATATGCCACTCCACCACCAACCGAAGAAATCAGGATGGACATCAGACAAGTCAACAGTGGGAAAGCAACATGACCTGGCAATATACCAGCTCAATCACCGAAGTCAGACATACATGCAAATGCAAAAATCTTTCATGTTCTATTCAGGAAGATTTGGGAGGAGGAACAATTGTCGACAGACTGGAAAGAAGATACCAGAGAAAGGATATTTGAGCAAATGTGTAAACTACAGTGGCATCACACCACTATCGGTATCAGGAAATGCTTACAACAGTGTTGCTAAACCGGAAGAAAGATTCAATAGACGAACACCTTCGACGCTAGCAGATCAGATTCCCTCATGATTGATTATGCACAGATCAAATCGTGACAAATACAGAACACTTTTACAGTTGAAATCACTAGGCGATCAATCCTAGACCACAATTGTAACATTAGGAGCCGTGGACGGTCTTTCTGTCCTAGTATGGGAATCCTCAGTATTGCCTGTCCATGATCCCGCAATCGAACTTGAGATCTTCGGACTCGCGTTAGAACACTTAATCTCTAGACCATGGAGCTAGCGTCAAACCGTGTTCATGTCTGACTAAAGTCAATCCATGATTATGATCAACTCTTCATTTATTGCATGAGATGGATAACTGTCTTGCACTCGACACGGACTAGACTCACGTGGTCACGGCTTCTTATTGGAAATCGAAGAGTTGCATTTTGAAGCGGATCACTAGTGAGCACATGATTATTATCAGTAGGGATATTTGTGGAGATTGTAGTATTTTTACAGGTGAAATCACCAATCGATCTGAGTTAGGTGCTTCCAGGATTTCAATGGTGGTTGACTCGTGATTCAAACTGTGAAAATACTACAAACTCCACACTTATAACTACGGATCATTGTTTAACGATAATTAAAAGGGAACATCTCACTATACATTAACTTCCTTGAGTATCAGAAAGCATTTGACAGTGTGGATAGGAGAACATTATGGAACCTTCCTCGACACGATGGAGTGAGTAGCTGAGATGATCGTCAACATTATATGGAACCACGTTCGACAGACTACAGTGCAATGTGACACATGGAGGCAGTTGACAGACTCATTACAAGTGAGGACCGGTGTCAGACAAAACTGTCTACTCTTTCTCTCTCCTTCTCTTTCTACTGGTGGTTGACTAGATTATGAAGACCTCGATATCTGTGGAGTGGCACGAAATACAATGAACAGCTTAGATGCGACTAGACGATTCGCATTTCACAGATCACCTAACTAACCTATCCCGTACATACTGGCAAATGCGGGTAAACACAACCAGTGTCGCATCATTCTTTGGAGCAGTAAGCCTCACGGTACACAAGCCTAGAGCAACGTCCTCAAATGCAACATGGAGAACACCAATCCAATCACACTTGATGAAGAGACGTTAGGACAGGTGGAAACTTTCACCTACCTATCTGGTCGGCATCGTCTATGAACAAGGAGGATCCGATGGAGACGTGAATGCAAGGATTGTCAAAGTAAGGGCAACATTCCTATAGTTGAAAAACATGTGGAGCTCAAAACAACTGAGAACCAATATCAAAGTCGGAATCTTCAACACAAACGCCAACACAAATCTACCATATGGAGTTAAAATTTGAGCAACTACCACAACCATCATCAAAAATGTACAAGTATTTCTAAACAATTTTCTACACATCGTACTCAATGTCCATCGACCGGATAGCATCTATAACAGACTATTGTAGGAGGGGACAAACCAGCCTCCAGTTGAAGAGGAAATTGGGAAGAGACGTTGGAATTGGACAGAACATACATCACCAAACTGCATCACAAGGGAAGCACTAACCGGAATTTTGAAGGGGAACGGAAAATAGGTAGACCGAAGCAGGCATGAAAAGTATGAATAGCAATTGGAAACAAGTGGAAAGAATTGTCCAGGACAGAGTTTGGTAGAGAATGCTGATAGACGGCCTATGCTATTCAACGGGTGAGGGTGGGGCTAACAGACATAGGTAAGTAGGGTTCATGTATTTATATATTATCTATAACTCTTGTCGTTTTAGTTTTTTCCGTCATTAGTGCCAATTGTTTCATTTTATATCTTACCTCGATGTTACATTTCAAAACATATATGGTTGTAATTAGATGATGAGAAACCAAAGGCCATTGATCCGTCATCCAAAGGTATAAATGTCCAAAAATAACTTATCAGTGATACTGCACAACCATCCCCCCTTGTCTTGGGTGAGTAATTACCTCACATCCGACACGGTTTAAGTTCACTACTCAAGGCTTCACACTAGAACTCTAAGAATAACCTCTCGAGGCAAGTTCGATAGTCCTGGGTCCGAGTCCCACGTAGGGGATCGTGAACGCTCACTCCCTAAGAGTTGCATATTAGGGCTGAACAAGCATCCAGTGCTTGCAAGTTTTAATGATGGTTTAGCATTGGTCGGTTCATGATCTCCAAAACCTTTTGTTGATATTCTTTAATTGTAGAGAACCCATCTTTTCCTTATGCCTCCATATTTGCGTCAGTTCCTCCTTGTTTATCGATGATGATGCCCAGGTACGAAAAGGCCTTTATCTTTTCCAGAGCCTACCCATCCAGTATGACTGTTGGAGACTTTAGATTCTCAGAACTCACTCCGGAAAGGACCTAATTCTGTAATTTTATTTAGAAAATTTGAATTTTTTTGTTTTTCGCCAAAGGCGCTCTTGTCATCTTCATGTCGTATTTCCTACTGGAAAATATCTTAAATGTTATTGGTCTGTTGCGTCTTTTAGTATTCTTTTTGATTACTCTCCTCAAGGACGGTTTTGCACTGTATATATATACGTTTTGAATTGTGTTTTTTGTTATCGCTCGTTTCTGGCTGTCTTGCAGAATATGCTTCCCATTCCAAGCTTGGACTTCTCGCTCTAGTTAGCAGAACTGGGACGCATTGATAGCTAGCTTACTGGTCTTTGGTCACCGAGTCTTGTTCTCGTTCGCAGATTAAGTGAACTCATGAGAGCTTCAAACCTAGCGATGACTGTTAATCAAGATTGATTTCCAGTATTGTTAAACTTCTCACTTAATTATTTCTCATATGAAATAAATAGCGCCTAAATATGATCCACGATAGAAATTATTATTCTAACTCATTTAATACTTACTTACAACTCAATCTGCTCATAACTGCAAAAACAAATTCGCTTAACGCCTACATGCTCGTCACAATATTCCCTTAGTTTCTCTTCCTGACAAAACACACCAAAGACTTTTAGTCCTGTGCTACAACCTGATATTCATGGCCAAACAAAAATAAGCTACAGACATGATGAGTACGATAAGAAATGCACATACATACATTCACAGAAATACATTCATGATTGACAAGAAAATGATCAACAAGGTCATAGATGTAACTTAAGAAGAATAAATAGATTAGCCTGTCCGGAAGCTATGTGGGCTTGCATTGCATTACAAGATATACACTCAGTATAAATTTATCCACAACTTCTTAAACCTTCATAATTTCTACATCAGTTTGAGTTACTTTGTTGCCATTCTAAAGCTTTGTATGTTCTATCACATTGTCATCAGATGACGGATGCAAAAGAAAACGCTTCGAAGTTCACTTCACTTCGGATGACATTTTTCTTGTTCACAGATCACAGACCACTGATGGATTATCTCAAGAATGACTGCAAATCTTCCAGAAAATATTCACCTAATACCCCTCTAAAACTCAGAGGGGTATATTAATAAAGACGAGCATCGGACGGAGGAAGAAAGCCCTTAAGGGTCTGAAATTTTGTCGGTTTACCGTCTATCTCTTTGCCTCTGTGACCAATAGAAAACGCATTTCTATAAGCGTTCAATGAAGCGGCTGGTTTAAACAAATACTTTAATTTATAGAATTAGGTAGCAACTCGTCATTCCGACTACCTTGGTCAAGTTACGCATTACATCCATTTTGAACAGTGAAGCTGAGAAGCTAGTTTACTTGCTTTGTAATTGGTATGAGCTTCTCAAGTAGTCAGGTTTAGACAACGTGTCTCTTTACTTGCTATTTAATATCATTTTCATATAGAGTCCACAACCTATTTATTTTGAGCGGTCGACTCATACCTGTGTCAATAGATACTGAAAATAGCTTCACCAATAGTACTAGACATTTCTCTTCTAGCTTTTAAAAAGTAATCAATACGGATAAACAGTCTGTAGTGTTGTGTGCCATTATTTCTAATGATATTGCGTCGTTGTCTGATTGGGGTACAATCATTGACGAGACCAGCATAACGATTGTTTTCCAGTGAACAAATACACAACAACAAAGAAGTCAATATTCACATTAAATAATACACTTGATACTGTTTTCGACTTTTTTGTGCTATTAGGCGTTAACTGACCACCTCAGCAGGTGAAAAGCTTGAAGTAGTTGGCAACAAGGAAATGTTTGTCATGTAACGTAAGCATTCAGTCCTATTTGTTTGATAAAACCAATCACGGAATGCTCAGTTATGAAGAAACAAAATTGTTGTTAAACCATCATTTGCACAATAAGACTTATAAGTCTAATGGTGTGGATTTTTTTATTCAATTTAAAACAATTAAAATAATGACTATTAGAATATATCAGGAACAACTGAGTGGAATAACTATTACTGATTTGATGTATAGACGCGAATATGACAGTTAATTCAGATACATGCAAATGTATATCAAATAACAACTACTACTAAGGTCAATTAGAGTACAGGCAGGCACAATAGTCAATAGACAAACAGTGCTATTAGAAAATTAAACTATACTGATAAGTAGATTGTGCTTTGGCATCACAAAAATACTTTTTTCAATAATAAGACAACAGAAAATCCAGTTCACTCACTGTACAACACTCATTTTGATGTGGTAAGTATTATCAATTCAGACGATGATTAAAATCAATATATTCATGTACTCTTAGTGCTGATTATATTCTGTTTGCCCGTATGTTTCAATACTGGACATTTTTTGTTTCTTACCTTTGATTAGTGACAATAAATATCTTCTCAGTGTACTTGTGCTGAAGATAAGAATACATGGATTAGAAGAACATCCAAACAATATAAGTATTGTACCCATTTGTTCAATCGGAGTACCATAAGTGTAAACCACAACTTCACATATGATTAATATTTGACTTATGCATTCAAACGAGTGTAATATAGCTTGTTGACATGACATTATTGCTGTTGTAATCACTAACTGAATCACTGTACGCTTAATTTGCAAACTAGACTCCACATTTTGTGATGAATCACTATGACGAGATGATTGAGATTTCTTAATAATACGTATGACCCATGCATGACTGATCAACATGACTATAACTGGCACAAAGTACTCGAACACAACCCAGGAGTATACAATGTAATTAAGAAATGTTGTCGTTTGAATCCAAGGGAATGAAAAATCCATAACACATTGGCTATCAGTGTAACGACGAAGAAGTGGTGTTGGTATGTACAAAATTAAAAACATACTGAGCATGTAAAGAAAGTATAATAGGAAAAATCTATTCGTATACGTTTTGAATGATCCAAGAAATAGGACAGAACTCACTCGATCCAATGATATACAAACAAGATTTTGCACACTCATGATACAAAATAACCAGAAGGATGCATTTCGAAACCATAAGTGGCATATCAGGATATCGATAATGTACAAGCCAGTGTGTTTGTTATAGATACTGGTGGATTGAATTATATAATAAACAGCTGCTGAGAAACATGCACCGAAGTCAAGTACAGATTGAGTTCTTAGTAAGAATAAAGTGAATTTAGAACCTATGGTCACTCTAAAAATAACAACTATCGCAACCATATTGAAAAGTGTACCAATTATTCCTTCAATTATAACAATAATCCGGATAGGTAAAGTAACGTAAACAGTTTCATTCATTGTTCGGTTCGCTTCTTTTGATTTACTGTGAAATGAAATTCAAAATAGGATTTCTGACAATTGCATATATATATATATATATATATATATATATATATATATATATTTAGCCAATCAAATCTTGGTCGAAATGGTTCATTGAATATTTTTAGGGAAGAAAATGTTCATACCCAAAATCATTTGGAAAATAAGTATGAATATTAATTGGTTTTGTCTTCATTGTAGTTTAGTGGTAAGTAACAAACACCTCAATAATTATATGCAAGTCTAAGCATTAATTTCCGTGAAACATGGAGTGTTTCAAGACATGAGACTATGACGTAGTTAATCTACTGATCTAAATGAAAATCTGTCTTTGTATCAATAGCATACATCTAAGTTTTTATTCTTAATTATTACCTATAAATGATGGATTCAGAGTTCTTATGGTAATGAGCGGACATATATATATATATATATATATATATATATCATGAGTCGAGTCATCATTAGTATCTTTAGTTTTATGTATAATAACCTTAGTAATAGTACTAAGCTGTTGAGCTGCATTTTCCTTTACAACTTGTGTATCCTTTCTTGAAATTGATTTATAATAACATAAGTGTACAGACCTGGTGTTATTCGGCTGTATTATTAAACTCGTTTATAGTATTCAGCTTCTCATCCATAGAGTAAAACAGAGTAAAGGTCTGAGTAGTAAACTTGGAGACTGTATTTCTGACAGATTGCATTTGTAAACTTAATGTTAGAAAATGATTTTAGATAAGTCACTAAAGTCAATTTGATATCAGACTAAGTTTGATCCCGAAAATCATTTTTTAATTTTACATAAATTCCTTTGGTTTCCTTAGACAATTTCTAGGTAGCTTGCTTCCGACCATTTCGATGCAAATTTCTCATTGTTCTTGAGTGTTATGTAATATTCAACAGATAGTTTTGTTAGTTTGATTTCGTCCTCTGGTTTATTCGATAGGCTGTTTTGATGAATGGGTCACTCTGACAAACTCCCTTAGTTTTGTAATTAACTAAGAATAAATTTCCATCTTATTTTGCTCATTTTTGATAAACTTAAGAATGAATATCATTAAATTATTTTACTTTATAAGAAGTACTATTTTCTTATAAAGATTAATAGAATATTCCTGTCTCTTAACTAGTCTGTGGTAGCATAACTTATCCAGATAATTCCATTTTAACATCAGTTAAATAACCTCTTGAAATTTTAACATAACATTTAACATAGTGTATTTTAAATTTCCAGTGTTTTCATTGTCTGTCTACCTAAATCTCTGATATTTCAAACTCTCTATAAAGGATTCTGTCATTCTCCACAACGCGTCTAGCGTTCTATATCTTTCCAGTGGGTTCTGCTTGAAATACAAGATGGGAATGTACCAATTATCAGAATGGGTTCTGTGGAGATTTTAGAAACTTTTCTGGTTGAAATCATGGGCCAATCGAAGCTAGATCACCATGGGAAACTTGGAAGCACTGGACGGCTGTTTCGTCGTAGTATGAGAAGCTATTAATAAGAAGCCGTTACCAGTGAAGTTCAACCAGGTCTATTGTGAGATATCAACTCACTGAAGACGATGATGTACGGCGGCGCAACTTTGTGGATTGGTTGAAGTTAGACATTAACGCCGTTGGACACTGGCTCAGTGGTCTAATGGTTAGGCGCTCGCGCCCGAGACTGGTAGTCCTGGGTTCGAATCATGCGGGGAGCGGGATCGTGGATGCGCACTGCTGAGGAGTCCCGTACTAGAAAGAAGTGGCCGTCCAGTGCTTCCAGGTTTCCCATGGTAGTCTAGCTTCAAATGACTCATGATTTCAACCAGTGAAGTATAGCGATTACTGAAATGACGGGATTAAAAAACAAAATTTCATTAGTTTACTTATTGTGAATTTTTATTTAACATTACTTCTGTTTTAATTCAATGTAATGATTAGTATTTGTTTTGTTTTTCAGTATGGTATTCTATTCGATATAACATTAATCTATTTGAGTGTAATTTCTATTCAAGTCAAAATACGATATTCTTGTATTACATTGACGTGACATGCAACATATGATTTGTTGTAATTCTGGGTACTTTTCATATATGTGATTTAATCTTAACTAATAATCAAAATGAGTGTACAAATCAATAAATATATCACGTGTATTTTTGACTGGGATCGTCGTGTTTCGGGTTTAATAAATCTTCACTTGTACCAATCTTGGCGCTCTTATTTCGGGTCGTGGAAATTACAATGGTCCCTCGTTCGACGAGTATAAGTAATAAGCGATTCCAATATAACAGTTAGCGGCGACCAGAAATGACAATTAAAACAGAGTCTCTAATCATTTAATATCAACGAAGAAGTTTCAATGACATTCATTTTAAGAGATGGGATGGTTATAAATAGGGATGAAAATTCAGTTTGCCTCATCTATTTGTTTATTCACTTATCTAAAACAGCTTAGTTCAATAGATAATCAATAATCTCAATGCCGGTCCCTCTTTTGTAATAGGGCAAGAAACAATACATAAAAAATATGGATTATGAAAACAGAAACTTATCAACTATCAGCTCTTAACAATTAACTAACTAGATTATCAAAATCATAGCTCCATAATTTAAATGAAATCTACTATGTAACTTATATTACAAGGACAACTACTTAACAATATTAATTAACATGAGAATAAGTTTTAAAAAATGAAGTATCCGTAAATCGCCTTATCTAAGCAAAATAATCAACATTTTTTCAAGTGTCTTTGTTTTTTTTCAAAGAAAAGAAAACTAAATAGCTAAATCTCATCACTACTACACGCCCTAATCTATCCATTTTCTAAAATAACTTATTACGCTGCAATCAAATAGAATATTAATAGCGAAGAACAGAAACGTGTTTATCTACAGGACAAAATCAGCCGTCATACTAAGGAGGATAAAACTTGAGAATTACAATAATTGGATCGTTAAAAATCGTATAATAAATATGAAATAATTGATTTACCAAGTATAAATGTATTTGTTTGAAAAGTACTGTATATGTTTTGGCTATTCAAACTGATATGACTGCAGCGAAAATGGATTTGAGATTTATTGTTTGAAAGATGAATAATTCTTTTTATAGTTGGACATTAAATCACTGACATATTTATGATCATTTTCCTGATTATATATGACAGTATGCCTGTATAAGATATTCTTGATTGAAGGTATTTTCAAAATCAATACATAAATTCACATGAAAGAAAAAAGAATGGAATAAAATAAAGATTCGTTCATCACGTTGAAATAACAAAGATATAAATATAATAAAACACTTGGAAATGATATATACATATACATATACAATCAGTATTTAAGGTTTTCAGTCATAAATTTTGTTTGTTTTTTGTTTGCTTTTTATTAACATACAACATCAATCATTGATTGACAATCATTCTTGTTGCTATCTTATAAAATGAATATTCAGTTCTTTGATTAAAAAAGATATTTTCACACGGGTTGTTTATTTTCCGAATCAATTCTGATAAATAAATTTGGTAGTCATTACAATGTATATATATAAGGTTCTATTTATGGATTTATTGCGATATAAATGTATCTATGTAACTTGGTTAGGAATTGGTACAAATTCATAGTCAGAAATCTCAAAATTTCAGTATACTTCAGTATTGAGTTAAATTAATGAATGGGTATTAATAGAAGAAGATATATTTGACGAATAAAATAGCATATGGTTTTATCGTTGTTAATAATGATAGTCATTGTACAGATCAGTATCATTTATTGTACCAAATATTTGTCTTGTTGCTATTATAATCTATGACATTAATTGTAACCGATCTTAAACATAGTGATAAATCGATATTTAGTGAATTGATCAACTTGAAGATCTATCCTTTTTTCCAGTAATACTCATCTTTTCTGTAAAAACTCTTATTGATATCGACAAACGTCTTCTTATGGTAGCTGTAGTAAGTATAAGTACACATGGATTTAAAACACAACCTAATAATATTAATATAGGACCTAAATGTCCAGTTATTGATTGATAGTTATAAACCATAATTTTATTTGCAATTAATATTTGACGTATAGACTCATATGAATGCAGTAATGCGAGTTGACCTGATAAAATTGCTGTCGTTATAACTAACTGACTTATTTTACGCCTAATATGTGAAGTTGATTCATTTTTACGAGATATACAAGTATGGCGAGATGAATGAAATTTTCTAATAATATGTATTACCCATATATGACTGATTAACATCACTAGAACTGGTATAAAATAAGCGAACGTAATCCATGAATATACCATAATATCAAGAAATAAACTTGTTTCAACCCAAGTGAATGTAAAATCCATTTCACAATGATCACTCATATAACGACGAAGTATCGGTGCCGGCATATATAGAAATAATGACATTAAAATCATATAAGCGAAATATGTAACCGTAAATTGACATGAATGTGTTTTATATAATCTAGGAAATATAACAGAGCTCACTCGATCCACTGATATGCAAACTAAATTTTGTACACTAAATGTACATGATAACCAAAAGTAGGCATTTCTAAACCATGTATGACATATTACTAAATCAATTATGTATAATCCTGTCAGTTCGTTATAACGGTCAGTACATTGAATTATATAATAGATAGCTGTAAAAAAACATGCACAAAAATCAAATATTGGTTGAGCTCTCAACATACATGTAGTTAATTTAGAGCCGAATTGAGTTTTGAAAACAATAATTATCGCTGCACTATTGAATATTGTACCAAGTAGACCTTCTATGATAACAGTAATACGTATAGGTAAATTAACAATCACATTCGGAGCCATAGTCTTGTTTCTTTTTATAAATAACAATTTGTGTTTCTTTTATTAAAATAAGAAATAAGCATTTCTTTTTATATTGTAAATTAAGAACATTTTCATTGAATGTACATGTCAAGTTGTTGTAATGTGTAGAAGGAGAAAAAACAAACAATTGTTAATGTTAATAATGTTTACTTCTTTTTTTTCAAGTGAAAAACATCTATGTTATACTATTTTACAACCAATCGAAATGAAGTGAAACATTATATTATTAAAAGTATTACCATTATTATTATCATTATTGTTATTATTAAATCATTTAGCATTGTCTAGGCAACACTAATCTGTCAATATTTCTATAAAAACAGTGGTTCTTATCTATGTTGTAATTTCAGATAGTTTCATCAAATTATTTGGGCGTGTGAAAATCATTCCTTTTATTTATTTACTGATCTGTTTGTTTGTTTGTGAAATAAATAATAGTTACTTAGTGAAGTTAATTGGTTTGTTTATTCTCTTCTATCACTTGTCAATCTTAATTTATATATTTTTCTCATAATCGAATAAAAGATGGTTACTTTTCTTGTTATAAAGAGCTTATAATTCATCAAGTAAAAAAGAACTTTTCCAGTAAACTTTCTATTTAGATTTGGCTTATCATTTAAGTCTAAGTGATAAATACATGGTAAATGTAATTCAGTAAACAAATACCAGTTTATGCATTAAACTGTAACTAGCACTTATTATCTATAAAAGCGAAAGTCTGAAGTTTCTTAGAGATTAGTTAGTTAGATTAAAGTAGTTGATCAAGGTTTTAAACTTGAAACACCATGGTTAAAAAGTTGCATGGCTCAAATGTTTAGTCAACCTTACAAAAACTAAATAAGTCAGTTAATATGGTGGACGATTTGTTAGTCCAAATGTTAAACCTTAATTTCATAGACTGTTAAATGATCAACAAAACAAATATCTAACAGTCATTATTGTTTCCATTGGTAACTACTACTATCTATTTTTAGTATTATATATTTGTATAGGTTATTTCAGTGTAGGAAACAACTATGTTTACTACACAGTCTTCTGTCTTCACTGGAGGACTTCGTGTTGTGAATTCGCTTATCGTAAAAAGTCTTCAAAAAACTATACTATTTACAACGGTTCAGACGACCAATCAATATGCAGCTTCCCATTAATTTATGTATTTTAAAATCGGATTGTTATTGTTGTATATTCTGACTGATATACTAGTAAGTTTGTTTTAGATACTGAAAAAAATTGTGGATGAGTAAAAATTTTTAAAGGGATTACGGACTTACATAGTTATTTGGTGAAATGTGAATACCATACGTTCACTAGTCCATTTGCAAAATGTCCATCAATTGTCTTAGACTTTGTTGTCCCTTCATTTCCATACTAATTACTCTCTGTTCCCATTCTCTTCTATTCGATCTTCTCAACTTTCTGTTGCCAGGCATTCCACTTTCTATTGATGTTACATACTACTTATATCTGTCAACATAATTAGCACACACCACAACCAGATATCCACTTTCTTTGCACTTAAAGGATCGTTTACTTGATTGTAAATTAATTCTAAATGAAGTTTGGCTGTATTCAATTAAGCCCTTTTAGCTTTTGATCAAATATTATATCCTATGATATTTTCACTTGAAAATAATTTTACCACAACAGTTATCCAAATAGTAAATAAGAACTTTCGTCTAAATTTGAACGAATAGTTTCACAATATTTGGGCGCCGAGTTGTTTTCTTAACATACACAGACCGAATACAATATATAGTTGAATGAAATTTCTCACATCACTTACGTATACATACCATCTGTCATCTTAACACTTGTTTCACACTACATGTCTCTTACACACTAATGTAAATACCTACTTCAAACATTGTTCACATTGATTGGATAACTTATTCAGTATACAGCAAACCAGAGAACCATGTACCTATTTATATTCGATAATTTTGTTGTTTGATTATATTTTCTTTGATAAAGCTTGGATCAGATTGCCAGGTGAAACGTTGGATTTACTTCAAATTTTTCGCTGAGATTTTACAAATACATTCTTCCTCTTTAGTTATTCAAATAGGATCAGAAAAACAAATTTCTCAAGTTACCCTAGACCAGTGAATAATAAATGATGATAAACTGGATAAAACTCAGAATTAGTAAAAGGCATATTATTGGTGTGGAACTTCTTTATCATTTAGGTCTTATAAAGTTCAAATGGACGGTATATTCTGAGTTTATGATGTGTTATCTATGCAGCAACTGACCAAGAGAAGTAATTTTTACAACTAACAAATTACTGAGTTATAGCATACGTCAATTTCTTCTATTCGTTAGAAATTAATTATCAGTATAGGGTTATGAAGATTAGGCAGTTTTTGATTGAGATCATGAACTGATTGATGTTAGACCACCATTGAAAACCTGGAAGCACTGGACGGTCGTTTCGTCCTATTGTGGGACTCCTCAGCCATAAGCTCATAAGCATACAGCCCAGAGGGTATGCGGCTAGCAAAATATTAACTCAGAGATTACGCAGAACAATCCGAAAATCACTCAACAACGCACCCATTGTTGACACCGAGAATAAGATATGAGTTGCTTAGAGTGACTGCGTCATTTAGTATTCATCAGTTCGAAGCTCTGGGAATTTACATTTTCGTGCTCGCGACTATTTCTCTACGTAACTAGACAAAGATTTAGTGGAGAAAGTGAATAGCTCGATATTAGCCCATTTAGTCATAGTGCCAGTATAAACCAATCCTTTCCAGTTATTTATCGGGTCAGTTATTTTTTCGCCAAACTTTGTCAAAGTCCTTCAAACAGCTGAAGCAGTAGCTATCTGTATTAAGAAACCTGAGCTATGTGTACAAAAGGAATATCTTCAACAGGGTTCTCCTCATCTGGTCAACCTCAAGGCCAATTAATCAATTGTAATCTTAGCTATTAAATGACCTAATTTGACTACTGTACTTATAACCTTTTGTAGTCATATATAACTGTCCCTGTTATCTTTATTCACATATCTTTGTATTATTATTATTATTATTGTTATTAAAACACCATTAATGTTAATCTCCCTAATGTATAATTCGTTTACTTCGCATTCATCCCACTTGATTATGTCTTATCAATTTTTAGACATTATCGTCTTCCACTAAACACTTTACCGAATTTGTAATTGTATCATTATTACTCTCATCCAATCTGACTCATATTTATTCGGATCATGAATCTTAAATTTTCACTTAACATATAAGCTGGTTCAAGTTAACATTCCATATGAATCATATCAACATTAACAACTTTATTTTGTCAGAATGGAGTTTTGTGGATATTGTAGTAACTCTTAATAGTTGAATTCATGAGTCGATTAAAGCTAGACCACCATGGAAAGACCTGGAAGCACTAGTTTAACAATCCCAAATTCACATGCTATAACGTTAAACGATTCATTTTGCCCTAAACATGACCATTTTTCGGATTATTAATTTGGATTTATAATTGTAGAACCTGAGGAGAATTTATCGAAAAGCATATTCTTCTTTCATATATTAGTCTTTTAATATGATGGGGATCTTTAAACAATTGAAATGCATACTTCTAGAAAAAATCGTTAAGATCAAATTACTGATATTTTATCTCAGTTAACTCGATCTCAAAAGTGTTGCAATGTGTTATTTAGGCTATTTAGGCTGTATATGACTGATAAGCTCATTGTTCATGATTGAATGAAGTAATTGTTGTAAATGAGAATGGTAAATGTAGCCTCATCTTTTTTTCCATTCAATATTAATATTTAGAAAAATGAAATAAACCTATTGTGTCAGTGAAGAAGAAATAAAGACAATTAGGAGAAGAAAATTTTCTTGTCAATGATGACACTTTCTTTAGTTATAAAATTGTATTCACAGTTAATCTTTTTTCATTCATGAAATACTCTTCAATGTTTTTATCGATTAACACATGTACAATTAACTGTTCATACGACTGTGCAACTTAAGAAAATGACATCATCTAAGTGGAATTCTTTTTGTTGAATTGTCTGTATTTCATCACATTATTACATTTTTATGAGATACCTTTTTTTCAGAAGCTGTTCTAAAATTTCGGTTCAATATAAGTACATTGAAACAGCTTAAAAATTATATCCTTGATAACAGATATTTCTGACGTTAAAATTTTGTTTTAATAATCTGTTATAACTTGTACCCTGTGTGCTCTGTTAATGTATACGTAGTGATACCGCCAATTAGAGAGCAATGAATTATCGATCGGACCAACGACGCATAAAACCCGTGCGAGCAGTCTAGAGTCCTCATCGTTCCTGCTTCCTGCCTAGCCCAGCAAATTAAGTACAGAAAACCAATCCCAGCCTCTGCAATATGAATTATTTATTTCAAACATACTGAGTTTATATACCAACCGGACAGACCACATCGTACCATAAAATAGAAAACAACATTTGTACAAGAATTAGCCAAATATGGTTGTGAATAAGGGAGACAGTAACTGATAGACAAGGCATAACTCAAGAATGATAAATCGTATAGTAATAGTTCATAGGTCAAAATAAAGCTCATAATAAGAGGAACATGAATATGTATAGTTTAGTTACTTATCAGTTATACGATAAAAATATACGCATAGTATTGGTCCATAAATGGATCCCTAAAGTTACCATTCATTATGCTTATCGGGACATAACATAATCATTTAATTCTAATGACAATATTTCAAACTTTGATGATTCCATTATTAATAATGACAATGTTATAAAAATGAGAATTCGTTCCTGAAGTATGGATGTGAAATAAAGTGCAACTATTTTAAAGAGGAAGAATGTATTTGTAAAATCCCAGCGAAAGAATTTGAAGTAAATCCAAAGTTTCACCTGGCAATCTGGTCCAAGCTGTTTTATTCATAATCACAACTTTTCATTTTGATTTACCTATCTTTTATTGTTCTGTATGAGATAAAAATTAAACCTGTAG